ACTTTCTTGACGCTCCTTTCCAGCTCAGCGTGTACACCACCACGCGGTCCAACCTTGGTGCTGAAAACAACGTGGATCTGGTCTTGAACGTGGAAGACTTTGACGTGGAGTCGAAATTTGAAAGGTATGATTGGGGAGCAGCGCGTGCCAGTGATGGGGTAAGTGCTGGTAACGTTTAGGTTGTGGAAAAGGCAGTGTCATGTGTGAGGAAGTTAGCGAGGAGAAGCACTGTTCCCTTCTGTCTCGTGAGTGGGGCGGCTTTTAACTGCCCTCGTCTGTGATACGTAAACTAGCCAAGTTTTGCTCTTTGTGAAAGTAGGAGGTGATGAGTTTGTCCCTTAAAAGGTAGCTTCCAGTGTCCGACGGTCCCAGGATGCACGGCAGCCATGGGCGTTTCCAGAGGAGGAGGTGAGGTGGGGGTGACGTGGCTTCCCACAGCAGACAGCTTGTCTCTCTCTTCCTGGCGAGAGTTGCCAGTTAGGTCAGTGTAGTGATGTAAATGCTCAGGTACGAAGAGGGAGCGTGAGAAGTTACACTTGCTGTGTCGTTCTAGTTTTAAGATTTCAAAAGTAGAAGTCGAAAAGCAGCTTGCTTGTCCGGGGTCTCCTTTTTTCCTGTGTGTCGTCTGGGTGATTTCAGACAAAATAGCAGAAGCGTGTAGTCGTTGGCATGAGCGTCCTCTGGCCAGCCTGCCCCATTCGAGAGCTGCGGGAGGCAGTGCAGCAGACGGGGGAAATAGGTGCGGTTGGGGTCAGCCACTGCCTGCCTGGCCACGTGAGCCCTGTGACCAAGGCGAGTTCCTGCCTTCCCTGAGCGCTGCGAAATGTAGGCAGGAAATGCTGCCCGTGGTTTTAGAAAACGGTCTGTGAGCATCTGCACTTTCAGGATTTCGGTAAAGTCTTTGCAGGTGGGTGCGTTTTCAGAACGTGTGAGCTAAAATTAGTTTGAAACGGCATGATTTACAGAGGTACTCGGGTAAGCTGTGCTGTGTGCACATACGAGGCAGCTAACACGCACGTGGTTGTAAAACAGTCGTTTCTTTTGTTTTAGGACGGTTAACGTTTCCGTACCAAAGAAAACTAGAAATAACGGGACGTTGTATGCGTACATCTTCCTCCATCATGCCGGCATTCTGCCATGGCATGATGGGAAGCAGGTGCACCTAGTGAGCCCTCTGACCACCTACATGGTTCCCAAACCAGAAGAGGTCAACCTGCTCACGGGTGAATCCACTACACAGGTGAGTGTGCCTGTTAGGTCACTGACCGCATGAGGCCTGCGCTCTCCCTGTGGAGTTCACACCCACAGGTTTCTGCACGTGCAGCTTACACCGGGAGCTGGGGTGACCATTGGGAAGGGAAGCAGTTTGATGTAGGGACAAGCACGTCTGTCTTTCAGCAGAATTGCTTCCTGTGACTCGCAGATAAATTTTATGCCAAGTTAGTGACGTAGACTCTGAGTAATGCAATGACAGGTTACTTCTCAGGCCCCGGGCCCTCTCAGCCTCCAGGGAGTGTGTGTGCACCCCATCAAGGTGTGGGGGCCTCCCTTCTGCAAAGTCGGCCGCAGCCTTCGCTCACAGCTGGGGGACTCACTGCCCTGTGTGTAGGGCAGGACGGCACTTCGGTATATCTTTTCAGTTGTCATTTGCGATTACGGGAGAGATACCTGTACTGCATACGTGCCATACTGCTGTGAAAAGCTGTGTATACGAGGAAACTAGAGCGGCTTAAGTGGTTATTGACGATACTGTGGGTAAAGCAGAGGAATTCTGTCTTTGGGTCTGTGTGGACTAGAAGGTGAGCTCGTTTACAGATGGGAAGTGTCTGTGAGGCTGCCCCATGCTGGGTCTCCTTGGAAGGACTCCCTCGGCTGCTTTTTCTTGGGGGGACTGTATGGCCCTGCCTCTCGGGGCCTTCCTAGGGAGTCAGTGAGGTGGTGGGTGTTAGTGTGAAGTGATCTCCAGAACATACAAATAAACGTGTGCGGTTAGTATTACTTAGAAAAGCATTCTTAACGTAACTTACCGGAGCTGTATTCTATCTATTTAGGTGGGAGATAGGCGAAATGGTCCTGCAGTGTGGAATTTGTCAGTTAGATCTGGGAGATCTTCCTGGCAGTCATAGCTTCTTTGCTGAATAGAGCTCTGTGTGCGACTGACGCCCAGCCCTGACCCTGTCTTTGCAGACGACGTGACGGACCGGGCCTAGGGCCAGTGTCCTCAGTCTCGCTGCCAGCTGCAGGGGCTGTGAGCTCCGATTGCCTGCCCCCTCCTGCAGGTGTCCCGGGACTCCCTCTTCTCATGGTCCCCGCTCGGGCTGGGGATCTAAATGACAACCCTCTGGCTCGTGTTAAGAGAAGGAAGTGAGGGGTGCCGCTCTGGGGGAGCCGGCGGTCATGCCTCCACCCAGCACTGGGCTTTCCCTGCTGAGCCACTCGTTTCCTTTAGCAGCAGATAGAGGCAGAGAAGAAGCCACCGAGTGCCCTGGACGAGCCTGTTTCTCACTGGAGACCAAGACTGACACTGAACGTGATGGTGGACGACTTTGTCTTTGACGGGGCCTCCCTGCCTGCCGACGTGCATCGGTACATGAAGATGTAAGTACCGCTGGGCCCGCCGGGGAGGAGGGTGGCTCTTCGCGGCGCACGCCCCCGTGCCCAGCCTCGAGCTGGCGGTGCAGGAGTGGCCCCGGTGTGTGGGGTGTGGAGGACACCTGGGGGTCGTGGCCCACCAGAATCCAGAAACGGGGGCCCGCAGTGCTGCCTCGAGCACCCCTGAACCTCTCGAGGTCTTGCTGATAGAGACTGCCACCAGGGCGTGAGACCGTGTCGTGCTGCACCCACTGAGACTTTTGTCCCATCTGCGTACTGATTACCTCTGTTAGGACCCCGTGTTTTGTTTTAACTTGACTTGTTTACGTTAAGTTAAAAACTAGTTTTTAGGTCATTACGTTTAGTGTTTAGCATCGCTAGTTAAACATAAGCGTTGAAATTGTGTGAATAACTTAGACCGCCTCGCGTTTTGGGGGAGCCCACTGTTAAAGTAAGATCTGTTGCCGATGTCACGCAGCACCTAAAAACGGTCGCGCTAAGACTCGTCTTCCTTCACGGGTTAGTTGTAAACGTGCTATCGTCGTGAGGGTTTTTTCTTTTTAATGCGTATGTGTCATTTTTGAGCGTGCAGAAGAGTCACGTAATTAGAAACGTAAACGGTACGAAGGGTCACAGAAAGCCCCCCACTCCTGTTCTCTGGCCCCCGCCGCCTCCAAGGTACGGAAGGCAGGTGGGTTTTTATTTCCACTCTCCCTCTGCATCCCTGACCGTCCCGCATCAGGGCACATGTGGGCCTGTCGCTCTTTTGTGGCCTGGATGGTGTTCCGCTCTGTGGCCACTGGGGTTTCCCTCCCATGGCTGTGACTTCAAGGAAGAACAGCTGGTTAGAGCCCTCGGCTTCTGTGGGCAAGGTGTGTCCCGGGGCTGTGTGCCCAGAGACAGCCGAGGACGTGGGCGGGATTTCTCCGCGCTGCGTCTCCGAGCCGTGTCTGATTCCTCTAATGGTGAAAGTGTTCACGGTGACTCTGGGAACTGCTTGATCCCCCAGGATCCAGCTCGGGAAGACCGTGCACTACCTCCCTATCCTGTTCATCGACCAGCTCAGCAATCGGGTGAAGGACCTCATGGTAAGTGTGGCTCCTCTGGGCTGCTGTCGCCCCGCAGGAGCTTGCTGCGTCTTTCTGACTTGGCAGAGCTGTGCTCCGGGTCTGCCTCCGACTCCCTTCCTGACCCCTGTGCTCTCTGTGGTGGAAGGCTCTGGAACAGTTCTGTATTAAGTGCTTGGATGGCGAGTCTCAGAGCTCGTTGGAGAACCGAGTGTCGCTCAAACAGTTCATGAAGGTTTTTCCACCAAGCCCTAGTTGTTTGGCTCAAAGGCACAGATGGGCTTAGAGGGGGTGCTGAGCAAATTGCTCCCTTTAAAGCTGGCCCCACACAGTGTCACCGCCTGTCTTGGAGCCTGCAGTTGTTCCCCCCGCCCCCCACCCTCGGGTGGCCCTGGGCAGGGCTGAGTGTGGGAGTGGAGGGGAGCTGGCACCCTGCCCTGCAGGGTGGATTGGAGGGCCAGTGCAGGATGGCTGACTTCCGGGCAGTGACAACAGCAGTGACCATTGACACGGAGGGTCACCTACGGTGCCCCAGGCACTGTGCCGAGCACTTCACAAACGTCCCGGGGTCTCGCCCCATGGGCTGTGGAGCTGTGGCATGAGCCGGACCAGTCACCCTCCCTGTGACTCCTGGCCGCCATCCCAGTCTGTGGGCGTTTACCACACGCTGGAGTCCGTGTTCCTTGCTCACAGACGAGACAGCCTGGGCACAGAGAGCTCGGGTCCCCGTGGGATGCACGGCAGTGAGCGGAAAAGGAGGCATCTGACCCGGAGCCCAGCCTCGCGGGCCCCCGCCCCAGCTCTGCCTCCCCCTGCTGACCAAGGGGTCCCTAACACGCGGGGTCCTGCGCTTCCTTTGGGGGTGCCACCTAGATCTATGGGGCTCGTCGGCCCCGGGCAGACCGTCATCCTCCCTCCTGCTGTGTGCAGACCTGGAGCCGGCCCAGTTCTGCCGAAGCACGTGGTCAGCTTTCTGGGGGCCCGGGGCTGCCATGGTGCGGGCAGTGGTGTGGAGAGGCTGCTGGCTGGCTGGGCCGCTGGAGCTCCGAGGCTGCGTCTGCAGGGCGCCTGTGCTCTCCTCATCGTGTGGGTTTAGCGGCCTCATGACGTGGCACCGCTATTCAGACGTGGAAACAAGCTCACGGGCCGCCAGCGTTTCCTGTGGCGTCTTCGTGACACGAATGCCTTGTCTGGATCAGGGCTGCTTTCTGGAAGGAACGCCATCTTTGGGGAACAGCTAATATGCTGGGGTTTAGACAGTGGCACCTGTGTGGGTGGGGTTGGCCCATGCCCGCCTGCCCTGGAGCCAGTGCGCCACTGTGGTGTAAGGGGGTCCGGTGCCTGGGCCTGGCGTCTGGTCAGTCCT